CTGGCGGGACCTCCAGCCACAGCCCGCTGTCGTCCTCTCGCCGCCCCGCCAGCTCTCTCTATAGAGAGGCTTTCCCCCCCTCCCTCACTCCCTCCCACCAAGGCGACTCCCTCAGACGTGTCTAACTTCGGCCCGTCCCCTCAGGCCTCTCGTCCTTTTCCTCGCAGCCTTCCAGCGGACTCACCATTGTGATGACTCTTGTTGCTATCGTCCAGCGCTCCGGTTGCTATGGCATGCTAAGCCCGTGCGCATGCTCACTTGAGGGCACGGAGGGCGGGAGGGTTGAGGGAAAAGTGACGTCACCAGCTGGGGCATAGAGTTGTTTTTCTATGCCTTTAAGTCGGAACCGATTTAGAGCGAACCTTACGGGGCTTTCAAGGTAGTCCTACCAGTTCCACGCCCCAGTCAGTTTCCATGGCTCAGCCGGGACTCGAACCGGATCGTCCTGAGTCCTAGTCCGTCACTCTTCCACCTACACCACGCTATGTATACGGATTGCAGAGAAGCATGTGAAAACAGATAGGCTTCTGTCCCCAGAAATCTTGCCTTCACCATAGACATAGGACAAGAAATAGGTCATAGCGACATACTCCCGCTAGCGTCCAGTAATATATTCAATTGAAGGTTGTTGTGGGTTTTTCGGGCTCTTTGGCCGTGTTCTGAAGGTTGTTCTTCCTGACGTTTCGCCAGTCTCTGTGGCTGGCATCTTCAGAGGACAGGAGTAGGAACTCTGTCCATGCTCTGTTACTATTTTTGTTTTTGCCTTCGAGAATACAATATATTCAATTGTTCAAAAAACCTCCAGATCATGAAAGTGAGATCTCGTGCTTCCGCACTCAGGATTCAAAAAGCCAGGAAAGAGGCTGTCCAGAATTTTGTGGTCTGGTACAACCCAACTCCATCTGCTTTTTAAGGTCTTCCAGGAGGTCCTTCTTTTAGGACACACTATGTGATCACCCAGACTCCCACCTACCCTTGCCAATTTCACCCTTGAATCAACCTTACTCCCTTACACAGTTTAAATTCTACTTGTAAAAATAACCTTACAGTTATCTATTTTTTGTTTGCCTAATGGGGTGTTGAATACTGCTAATGCACAATACTGTATATTGGTGCTTGGCAGGGCACCAATAATTCAGGATGTAATGTAGAAAATGCAGTTGATCATGAAGATAAAAATTATGATTACAGAAGAACACAACTTTAATGTTCACAATGAAGACATTTAAATAGATTTTCTGAAAAGAACAAGAAAAAGGCTGTGTGGTCCCCAAGATTACACAAATGTAAGAGCAGGTGATACCTTTTACTGGACCACTGAATAATCAGCCAGTGTATTATAGTGGAGAGTGACTGACTAGGACAGTTCTCCAGAGGACAACAGGGTTCAAATCCCCGCTCAACCACATAAACTCAGTGAGAAAGTGTAATTGGTAAAAGCACTCCTTAAATATCTTGCCTATAAAGGTCTCTTTCTATAATCAATTCCAACTTGATGACACAGAACAACAACAATCAAACAAGCTTTTGTGGAGAAGGCCCCACTTCCTCAAGCTCCAGCACAACCCCTTCAGTGCAAATCAATAATCATTTATTTATTTATTTATATGATTTTTATCCCACCCATCTGGTCTATGCAACCACTCTGAGTGTAAAAAAGAGTTCAAATTTGTTGTTAAATATTGGGAGAGGTGGATCCAATTTTCTTGGGGTTGTGTTCTCTGGCATCCTTGCAGAATGGCCTGCTCTTAAGAACAAAAAGGAGAGAGAGAGAGAGAGAGACCTACCTTGCCTACTTTGAAACAATATGGAGTTTCTTTTTTGGCTCTGGCGGCAGCAAAGGAAAGGTCAGCACAAAGACTTAGCAACCTCCAGCACAAGGCTGTTCACAAGTTAGAGACTTTGTACACCTTGGTTCAGCCATCAATCGGACTGGAGAATGCAGCGAAGAAATCAGAAGAAGCCTGAGACTCACTAAGGGCAGCAAAGAAAGAACTGGAAAAGATCATCAAGTGTAAGGAAGTGTCAGTGGAGAATAATATCATCCCCATTCTTGTATTTCCAATCACTAAATATGGGTCCATTCAACAAACAATTATTTTTGGCAAACCCCAAACCATCTTCTGTACTTTCTCAATTGTTTGTAAAACCACCAAATTACAATTCATCTGAAGGTTAAATTCTATTTAGTATTCTATTCGCGAAGGCTTTAACGGCTGGGATTTAATGGTTGTTGTGGGTTTTTCAGGCTCTTTGGCTGTGTTCTGAAGGTTGTTCTTCCTGACGTTTCGTCAGTCTCTGTGGCCAGCATCTTCAGAGGACAGCACTCTGTGCTCTGAAGAATATTTCCTATTGCTTGAAATTGGACAAGAGATTTAAAATATCCTGTTTCCCTGAAAATAAGACCTAGTATGATTTTTCAGAATGCTCGTAATATAAGCCCTACTCCAAAAATAAGCCCCAGTTAAGTGAAACCAGTGCAGCAACCAGATTACATAACTGCATTTGAATAAATGTAGAATGTTGTATATGAAAAAAATAAAAACATCCCCTGAAAATATGCCCTAATGCATTTTTGGAGTAAAAATTAATATAAGACTCTGTCTTATTTTCAGGGAACACGGTAACAAGAACTATAATGAATGTGTTCTTTAGTTCACCACTGCCAAGATGTCTGGGCTTTTATTAACAACTTACATGATTAGCTTGAAATAATAATACAATTGTCATTTTCTCTACTCTCTGTATTTCATTTCAACATGACCCCCCCGTTTACTCTCCCCACCACCATTATTCAGAATAGTATTTCATACATCTGACAATGTACCTCAAGAATTTACACCACAATTCATATTTTAGTCTTTAAGATGCCTCTACGTTTGTTTTTTCGAAACAAGATATTATTCCTATGCTGAAGATTAGGGAGTTTGAGACTGAGGTATACTGATACTGTGTTCCACTTTCTGGGATAGTTTGAAACTGACTTATGACAAGCACTGTAATGCAATCCCAATGCAGTAAAGGAGCAACAATAAAGTTGAGAAATGTTGGGTATTATTAATTGATGGAATCCGCAAGATCATAAATCAATACTTTTTCCTCTCTTTAAATTCTATCCACTATTTCATATATCATGTAATTTTTAAGGAACCATACTGTATACTGTACTATAGGGACGTACATATATCATGTAATTTTTAAGGAACCATATACTGTACTATAGGGACGTGATGGCGCTGCGGGCTAAACCGCAGAAGCCTGTGCTGCAGGGTCAGAAGACCAGCAGACGTAAGATCGAATCCACGCGACGGAGTGAGCACCTGTCGCTTGTCCCATCTCCTGCCAACCTAGCAATTCGAAAGCATGCAAATGCAAGTAGATAAATAGGGACCACCTCGGTGGGAAGGTAACAGCGTTCCGTGTCTAAGTCGCGCTGGCCATGTGACCATAGAAGATTGTCTTCGGACAAAACACTGGCTCTATGGCTTGGAAACAGGGATGAGCACCGCCCCCTAGAGTCGAACACGACTGGACAAAAATTGTCAAGGGGAACCTTTACCTTTACCTTACACTGTACTATGATTGCTTCTGTTGTTCAATCTATGGCCTAAAGTCATTTGCTACTTTTAACTTAAGCAGAAACACTAAATCAATTATTGAATGGTAAATCAATGCTTGGGTGGTCCAGCAGTTAACCTGCAGTACTACAGTGAAGCCTCTCTGCTCAGGATGTGAGTTCGATTCCAACTGGTTCAGGTAGTTGGCTCAAGATTGACTCAGCCTTCCATCCTTCCGAGGTCATATATGAAATTACCCAGCTCGCTGGGAGACAAAATGTTCCTTGCATAATTCTGTTGTAAACACGAGGGAGAATGCGCTAGCACAATGGGCAGTATGTAAGTTGAGACAACAACAAAACAACAAGAAAAATAACTGGGTTTAGGCTTATATTTCATACTTCTCTCCTTAGTAAATAAATAAACCGGAGTGAAAACCAATCCAAATAAATTTGGAAGAAGATCCATGAATAATAAAAATGCAAATCTCTGAGTAATGCTTGAACAGTAGCAATTTTCAAAGCACATTAGCCAAAACATGGCTGAAATACTCTTTTTGCTCAAACATTGTTAATTTTAAAAAAAGTATCACATTTACAACACTAATTGAAAAATCTTTCAAACCGTTGTTTAAGGGGGATACAACACTAATTGAAAAATCTTTCAAACTGTTGTTTAAGGGGGAGAATGGCGCGCGCGCACACACAAACACACAGAATCCAAAACCAGAACCCAAACTTTGGTATATTAAGAACTCAAGAACATGGTTCATTTAATTTACATATCTGGAGACATAGTTAAGTAGAATCACTTATAATCTCTTCGTAATGCCAATCAACAAAGTGCCAGGAGAGAAGAAAAACAGCCCTGCTGTATTGCTGGAAGTGCCACTCTTTGATTGCTTCAACATGCTTTGATTCCTTCAGTTGCTGTGTGCATGTTTTAATTTATCCTCTTTTCATACCACACACTCAGTTGTTAAATCCAATTAAGTTTCAGGTTTCGTCTCTTTCCCTCCCCTGTAAAAAAGTAGAACGTAAAGTCAGGTCTGCCTATATTGCTGGAATCTGGTCAGGAGGCCAAGCCTGTAGGCCAGAGAAATGGCATGACTGAAGGGAAATACTTTGACAATCCTTGCTAAAGGTAGGAATCACTGCTGGCTTAAAGCAGGTAATCAAAGGACAAAAATGCCATGGCAAGAAATAATACCAACAGTGGTACCAACATTTAAATATACCTCCTATAAGAAAAATACCCACCAGGTGACAGATTTTCCAAATCAAGGGACTAAATGATAACAGATCTAAACACATTACTTCTAGATATACAAACAATGAGGAGGGTTTTTCCTATGACGGCCACTGATGCATAGGAACATTCAACAAGGGCTGCAAGAGATTATCAATGGAATCTCAGCCAAAGAATAGACAGAGTTCATAGTGTGGTGTAACTCTTGTTCTGCTATTCCCAACCCCTCCTCTATTTCTCTTGTATGTATATCCATAGACATGAAAAACAGAAATAAAGCAATTCTCAATAGGGTAGCCTGAAGACAAGTCCTGACATGTCTGGAGGGCTAGATTTTTCTGGGCGCTACATGTGGCCCACAGACTGCAAGTTCACCACACCAATGTTAAAGAAATGGCATCCTGTTACTTAGGACTAAAAATATTTTTGAAACAAGACAGATTTAGCCCCATTGCACATACTGGCATCTGCCTTACTGGCACTTACCGTATTAAATTATACTACTCAGTAGCCTAATTTTTACATTATTTCTGTTATATCTTTCACCAGATATAACAGAAGCAAAAACTATTCTACATAACCATAATGAATCATGGCATCATTGTTTTCAGTTTAAAAACCAGGTCAGGATGTTTGAGACTCTAATCTTTTTCTATTACTTTGGCTTAAACAGCCCTCCAACTCTTTCTTCAAGTAGTGGTATTAGTCGTGTATCTAATTTATATGCATATATAATTTTTAGATAGCATAATACTTTGATATTCTGAGTTTTCTGGTCTCAAAATAGTAGAGACCTATAGACAGTGCTGAAAACAAGCTAGTTATTTATGCTTTTGTTGGTATAATTGGATTCTACCTTGAATCTTTTAGTAGCTGGCTGGGTTGTACAGCTATATACTAACATGAAAAGGCCCACTGTTCGACAACCTTCACCAATTTCCATACTGGGAAATATGCATTCATGTATATTTTCATCATTAGATGTTACATCTCAGTACGGCACGTTTTTTAAATCGGTTTGTGGCCATTCCACCCTAGCCAGTTAGTGCTATCTCCTCTCATTATATACTTTGATTATCCTACAACCAGACTATGAACATTTTGGCCCCTCCATTTTTCCTTCTTAGTACCTTGAATCACCTTTTAGTAGCCTTCAGAACCTTCTGTATCATCTTCTCCCAGCATTCAACTATTGGGCTGCTCTTCTTATCTCAAGTGAAAGTGGAGAAACTCAAGAATCTTTCCCCAAGAATGTTCTTGGGCGTGGGCATGAGCTTTGCTTTCTCCACCAGCCAAAATAGGCACTCCTAGAATACGGTCCAAAGTCACTGAACAAACAGGAGAAAATGATGGATTAATGTGATGGCCTGCTCCAGCGTAGCTCAAGAGTTTAAAGTTGTCCTTCCCATGCTGACGTAGGCAGTCAATGGCTATCTTAGCATACAAAGAACTCTTCCAATGGCGATCATCCTCTCCTACCACAAAAAGGAAGTGGCCTTCTGCTTTTTCTACAGGAATGCGAGAGCATGAGTTGGCTGGGTCCATTGGATCATCCAGGGCTTCATACATATCAAATACGCCACTTTCAGAAATCCTAATCCTGCTCATGTTAAAGCAAAGTCCAGGCAGAGTCATTTTGCCATAATGAAGGGCGCTAGCCGTGATGGAGCTACAACCAGAAATACAAACGGCAGCCACCACATCTGGCAGGAAGGTCATCATTGACAGTGCCAGTTCTGCTCCTTTCCCAGTTCCTACAACACCAATTCCTGGTCCATTAATCTTCAAGAAACACCAAAAGTATATAGAACAGAAGAGAAAAAGACAACATATTAGCGAGCATGTTATGTGGACCATCTATGATACAAACACTTGTTCAATCATTAACGTTATCTTCATACACTGAATACAAACAGGTATCAAAATTATAATATTCTTTCCAATTTAATAAATGTTATTGTATTAGACATAAATGCAGAAGCTAGCCTGATATGCATAACTTTACATTAAGGCTGTCTGTTTTTATCATTAATTTAGGAATGCATAATCTATTTTCTCGCATGTCCACAGCTTTCCATCCTGCTCCAAAGCATATCCTAGTAACAAATTATGTAATTTAGAATGTAATAGCTGTAGTTGAGATTCAACCTTGCAATTCCTTCCACTGGGTTGTTCAGGATCTGAAAACTGTAACTGGTGATTCCTTGAAGGCTAAAGTCTTGATTTGCTCAAATCATCCTACATTGTCTAGATTTTCTGACCTGTAAGAGAAAATGCCCCAGATTGCCTGTGACAAATTCCAAATTGCTAGCTGAAGAAGAGCTTGGAACCAACATACATGCTGCAGCTGTTTCCATCTAAGAAGCTTGTCTGGCCTCTACACCATCAGCCATGTGAATTTGGGACATTAAAAACAGCACATAAGTTTGGAACTGCCCACAAGAACTTGATGCATAGCCTCAAAGAAGATGATTTATCATCAAAAGCTTGCTATTTTTTTTTTGTTTTATAGTCTTAATGGTCAATTAAAGATATCACCTACTACTGCATCTGTATTGTTTCCACGACTACGTGGCCTTATCTTGATTTTTATGTGTACATATGTTTTTCTCACCACATTTACCTTTGGGTGGCGCAGCAAAAACCTGGCAGCCTCTTCAAAGTACTCAAGGTGGAAATCCTCCATGACCTTGGGAAGATCCTCAAAATTAAAATACGGCAAGGAAAGAGCAGCGAAGCCATGAGTAGCCAGAAGGCTGGACCGGAATTCAATCAACCCACCTTCATCACCAAACATATCTATGACTCCTGGGAAGGGGCCATTCCCTAATAAAAGCACAGCAAATAATGTTGGGACCAAACATCAAATGAAAATA